AGTATATCGAGATCGGTTCAGATTTGGATATAGCTCCTTATGCATCATCGATTCAGAAGAGGATATACTTCTCCTATAATAGTTCCTTTGAATTATAACTAATTTAAAGGCATAATACACATTCCAAAACGATCATAGTTGGTATGACTTAACCCTACATAATATGCAACTAGGTGTAGGTTATCACATATTCGGCCACCTCCAACTTTTAGTGTTTCGTCACTGATTTTTTACCCTACATTACAAGGTGGTCAGGGTATTATGTCTTTGTGCATTTGTTTGTAACAGGCAAAAGGAAACGAGATAGACCCATAGTTGCTTTTGATGATATGCATAGAATCAAATTCTGAGTCGATTTATGTATATCCGCCGTCTGTTCATGTATTTTTGTGAACAAAGTACAGTTCGCATTTCCCGATCCAGATGAAATTTTGCACAAATAATTTCTTTGGCTCAAGGATGAATCCTATTGAAATTGAACATAATCGGTAAACATTTAGATATAGCTCCCATATATATCTTCGTCTGATTTACCTTTTATTGTGCACCAAACGTGTAATATCAGACCGAATAGTATGGAATACAACCAAATTAGGCCTGGAAATAAGTATGGCAAATTTGACCGAAATCGGTTTAGATATAGCTATAGCTCCAATATTTATTGTTCATCCGATTTGTTATTTTAGTTCTCCGCAGCCGTTATATGCACTCTGTAAGAAAAATATTTGGGGAAATCTATCAAATACAGCTCAGAAATACATTTGCCAAATTTATTAAGATCGGTTCGGATTTGGATATAGCACCCATATATATCAAATTGGCAATGCAAGTCCGAATTTAAAAGATATAAAGCTTCAGCATATTTAGTCTTTTGAACTTTAAATTATAATTATAATCATACTTTTAATTGTTATGTGGAGCTCCACTAAATTAGCAGAGTGGTGTATAGTATCATAAAGTCGAAATTGTAAACGCAATTTCAAAATAACAGCTCTCATATACATAACGATTTTAAAATTCGTGTTGGGTATAAACTTTAATATACATATGCATATATTTATACCCTACAACACTATGTGTTGGGGGTATTATAAGTTTGATTGGGCCAAAAATTATGTAACACCTCGAAATATTGGTTTCCCACATAGGAAAGCATATATGGATCTTCCTAGCTCGCCGAGCTGAGTCGATCTAGCTATGTATGTCCGTCCGTCCGTCTGTCCGTCTGTCCATGTTAATTTGTAATCACTCTACAGTTCGCAATTATTGCCCGATCTTCACGAAATTCAGAATGTAGGTGGGGCTTGGACCAGAATAGTACCCTATTGCTTTTGGAGATGATCGCCAAATGTTTAGGGGTTGAAATGGACCAAATACTGAAAAAATGTCGGATTTTGCAGTAGCTATACAGGTCGCAATTATAGACCAATCGACGCGAAATTTCGCATATAGATAGCGTTTAGGGCGGGGAAGAAGCCTACCAATTTGGGTAGTCACCCGATAATATTTAGCGGGTAAAATAGACCATATCTTTTGTGTTGAAAAAAATCAAAAATTTTCATTAAACCGCGAATATTTTAAATCCCGGCGAAATCACAAAGCCATCACAAGGTTACTTCTGACCTTTACATTGATGTTATTATCCAACAAATCGGATATATAGCAAAATATGTGCGATACATATGTCTATCAAAGGAGATATGCTTGAAAGATCTCTTATATGTCGAGAACGGCTGAACTGATTTCGACAGTTCTCATTAATTCAGAATAGCCTCTTGACAGGAAAGAAAATACGTCTAAAAAATCGCATAAAAATATCTCTCTAAAGACGAAAATATTGATTTTGAATCATTTTCTCATATTTTTTCAATTTTGTCATATTTTTGGCATATTTTCATTTTGAATTAAACATTTGGTAATATTTCTACAGCTAACAAAACTAAGTAGTTAGGATATCAGGATATCATATACAGATCGCATTTATGGCTCGATCCTTACGAAATTTTGCATGGGGATAAGATGAGGGTCAGAATAGAAGCCTACTCTTTTTGGATGATCGACATATATTTAGGGGTTGAAATGGACCAAAAAACTGCAAAATTGTCAGCAGGTCGTAATTATCGCCCGGTCCTCACGCACATTTGAATGGGGGTTACCGGACAGTGCAAAAGCCAAGCAGTTTTGAATGGCCATACAAAAATATTCAATGTGTGAAGGAGATTGCCAACTTTTGTAGACAAAATACGAAAATGTCCATTCCAGTGACTTTATGGAGAATTCACAAATACAGGAAAGACGCACTTCTGACTATTTCGTTAAGGCTGATTTCGTTGAAGAATATAGTCAAATGTCTGTATCTGATATAGATGCGTTTCAGTCAAAAACCAATAATAAATGTTAATCTTTTGCCACTTCTGAGAGATTATAGGTCTTCGGGAAATATTGGTTCCAAATCTAGGAAGACCATTTAAGTGCAACATCTACCAATAAATTGGAAATGAGCAAATTAGTTTAAGTTGCTATTATTCGAAAATAAGAGAATGAAACCTGATGGTTTTCTTTTATTATTTGTCACAATATCTTGTGGAATTCTTTCGAGTATCTCGCCTATATAAACTGTATCGTTTATTATAGTGTTGTAGGGTATTCAACGGTCGGTCCCGCTCGACTGTAGCCTTTGCTTACTTGTTTTTCTACTCATTTTAATTAATATAAACATATCCTTATTTAAGGGAAGAAGCATTGATGAATCATTAGAATTTTTGTAGGGTATCAGATTGTCGGCTCTCCCGACATTTGTCCTTTTATTATTAGCTTTTGTTTGGGCTAAATTACCAAATACTTGTACTACGACAAATCCAAAGGTCGTGATAAGGAAACCAGTTAGTCAGCCAATTGTGATATTTTAACTGCCGTTTTTAAGAGCAAAAGACTCATTTTTTGTAATTGGGGAAATACACAATATTGTCGTAGTTGAGAATATAAAACACTTTATTTAGTTGTCTTCCACACACGTTTAACAATATTTATTTGGTGGTGGTGTCTCTTAAGGACTACGTATTTGGTCACATAATTTGTGAGTTTTCTCTTCAAAAACTCTATGTTTATTGTTAATATAATTATAATTTATAATAATTACAATCCTTATTGTTATAAACCTAATTCTCCTTGTCTCATATTTATTGAAATAAACTCTCTCTCTGCAGTCTTTGAATTTTTACCGCAAACTTCTCTTTCTTTCATTTCGATGGTAAGAGAGAAACATCTTTCATTTAACAATTCTTCATGCTTTCTCTTATATGTATTAGTTGTCATGATATAAATATGACCTCTTACGAATTTATTTCATGTCTCTTGGCGTTTTGTGTTTTTACTGATAACAAAATCAGTAGCTATCATCAACCAAATATATACACTGATCTTTAGTTGGGATATGATTAGTATAAGACAAAACGGCATTCGAATCTCGTCACAAAATTATTTATTATTTTTTTTTTCTTAATTAAAATTTTGTCTTTTGAATCGTGTTTCAGAAAAAGTGTACCAAGCATGGCAGGTAACGAAAATTAAGTTACAAACAAATACAAAACGGAGAATTCAATATGTTTTTAGTTTACATACAAAATGCTTTGTTGTTTACGATTTCATTTCAATTATCTTTTAATCCATATTACGCGTGATAAGGAAAAATTCGCAGAATAGTGTACTGAAACAAATCGAGAGTGAAATTTGGAAACTGTAGTTGTTTAAAAACAATTACTGATATGAATTTCGTATTAAATACATAAAATATGTGGAATTGGAATTAAAAAAAATAAAATATTCTGAAACTACATGAAGAATGTGAATTTTGAAAATAAATATAGTACGTTCGAATATATTGATAAAGTGTGAAGTAGCGCGATAATTTTGAAGGCATTAAAATGGGAAAGCAAAATCCAATTTTTGGAGTAAATGCTAATGTATGAAGTTGATGATGGAAATTAGTAGAAGACATTAAATTCGGCCGGACCGAAATTTTAATAATCCCACTCTGATCTAGAGAAACTTTTTTAAATAAAAGAATCGCGATTCAAGTTATTTCCGTTGAAAAATGTGGGTAAAATCATCAAAATAACGAATATCGGAAGATGGCTTTCTACAAAAATGTGAGACATTTTCAATCTCATAAAAATCTTAGACATAAAATTCATGTTAGCTCCCAGGCAACTTGGAAAGACGTCTCAAAATTATACACTAATAAAGAATATATAATCTTCAAGGGTATTTAATCGTTTTCTGATTGTCATCAACCAAAACGACTTCCCAGCATGTGTTCTTACAGAAAGCTAGAAGGTCTTCTCAAGAAGGCAAGGAGGTGTTCTTATAGAAGACCAGAAAGTATTCTTAAAGAAAATCTAAAGGTCTTCTCATAAAAGACCAGGAAGATTTCTCATAGCGGACCAGGAGGTCTTTTAGGTATTCTAATAGAAGAAAATAATCTATTCTCATATAAGAGGAGAAGGTATTGTCATAGAGGCCCTTCTGAATGATGACCAGAAAGTCTACTCAAAGGAGTCCAGAAGGCCTTTTCAAAAAATAAAGTTTCATCATAGAATACCAAACGGTCTTTTAAAATTAAGACCAGAAGGACTTCTCACAGAAGATCAGAAGCACTTCTCATAGAAGACCAGAAGGACTTCTCATAAAAGACCAGAAGGACTTCTCGTAGAAGACCAGAAGTACTTCTCATAGAAGACCAGAAGGCCTTGTCATAGAAGACCAGAAGGACTTCTCATAGAAGACCAGAAGGTGTTCTCATAGAAGACCAGAAGGACTTCTCACAGAAGACCAGAAGAACTTCTCATAGTAGACCAGAAAGACTTCTCATAGAAGACCAGAAGGTTTTCTCAAAGAAGTCCATAAGCCAATCTCAAAGAAGACCAGAATTCTTTCCAGAAAAAAAGTTAAACTTTTTTATAACAGTTTTAACAACATTCTTCTCCCCTTCTCTTTTTCAGTTAATCTCCCTGCCTTACTCAGCGTTGCTGTTCTTCTCCTAATCTCTGTATCCCCAAGCGTTCAAAGGCGTTCCAAAAATATGGCCAACGTAGAATTCTCTCAAAGTCTGGAGGTGTTTGGTGTTAAACTTTTCACTGAAGTCGCCAAAGCGAATGCAAAGAAAAATGTCGTTTTCTCCCCCTTCTCGATTCAAACTTGCATCGCCATGGCTCGGATGGGTGCTGCCGGTGATACAGCCATTGAAATGGACAAAGGCATGGGCTTGACAGTGCAAAACGAAGAATCGTTAGCCAATAATTATCACAATATTTTGACTCAATATGAGAACAGCAATATTCTGAAAATTGCCAATAAAATCTATGTCATGAAAAACTATGAAGTCAAGGAAAAATTCAATGAGCTGCTGACCAAGAAATTCTTCTCCACTGTGGATAGCATTGATTTCGGGCAAAATGTACAGGCTGCCAAGACCATTAATACTTGGGTGGAGTCGAAAACCAATAATCTCATAAAGGATCTTGTCTCCCCCAATGTACTCGATGACGATACACGTTTGGTGTTGGTGAATGCCATACACTTTAAGGGTGAGTGGGCCCATCCTTTCCCCGAATATGGCACAAAGGAGAAAGATTTCTATTTGGATGAAACGAACAGTGTAAAGGTCTCCATGATGCACATTAGCGAACGTTTCCGCTATGGAGAATTCCCAGAGTTGGATGCCAAGGCCTTGGAAATGCCCTATAAAAATTCAGATCTTTCAATGTTGATAATCTTGCCCAACTCTCGTACTGGCCTGGTGGATTTGGAGGAAAAATTGAAATCCGTATCGCTACATGATTTGACCAGCAAGATGAGTTCGTATAAGGTGAACGTGGACATGCCCAAATTTAAGGCGGAATTTGAAATGGAATTGAGCGATGTTCTGAAGAGTGTAAGTAAATCGCCAGGAACGTCGGCAAAAGTCGTAAGCGATATTTTTGAGAATTTTTTTAGAAGGAAGACACAATTTCCAATGTTTGCTAAAGCATATGGCAAACCTCTATAAAGTACACTTTTAATTTTGCTCTTGCGACCTTTGCCGACGTTAAGGACGAAAAATAATATTTTGGAAAATTTATTAATTTATAAAATTTTATCAAATTTCCAGTTGGGCATGGCTCGCATGTTCTCCTCAGCAGCTGATTTCAGCAATATGCTGAAGTCTCCAGAAGGTTTGCAGGTCTCCAAGGTTATTCACAAAGCCTTCATTGAGGTCAATGAGAAGGGTACCGAAGCTGCTGCTGCCACAGGTATGTTGTCGTTTTCTTTTTTTTATGAATATTTACTTTATGTGTCTGGTGCTAAACATGTCCTTTGTGCTTCACTTTTCATTCATACTTACATATCACTTAATCTAGTTTTTAATATGGTCAGAATAATTTATGACCGAATCAGTGTTGTGTGATTTCATTTGCATTTAAAAGCTGTACATTAATAATGATATAAATGCCTTCATAAATATTGAGATTTAGAAAAAGTCCTTCCTCTCTATCACTCTGATCGGTTAGTATTAAATAATATAGAATTTTTTCAATAATTTATAATTTTAAAAGAAACTTTTATATCTTCAAAACATTCCAAATCGGTACGCATAGTTCTTAAAACATACACGTCCCAAATTGACAGCTAAAAAAGGTTAACGTACGGAGCTCGAAATTTTGATAGAACGATAATACTTTAGAAACATTCGAGTTGGCTTTATTTAAGTGTCTGATTTGGACCAAACTTAGAGGATAATATCGACCCAGCCACTGGTAATTAGCCAGCAAGCGATCGAAATTAAATAGAAATATGAAAACATTTGAAAGTATGTCCAAATGGACCCGTTCCAATTCTTTGCACGAATTTCATTCATTGATAACAATTACAATTGCAGGGATTGTGATAAAATCGGATACCACCTTTAAATTGTCCAAAATCGACCTTAACGATTTCGGTTTTTGTTACATTGGAAACACCCAATTCCAAATTGTAGCAACTTCAAATGTTAAAAAAAAACCTAAAACCAGCCTCTGCGGTTTTCTGACGGCTATACGAAAACGTCCATCAATTTTGGATTTTTTTTTTGTACAGAATTGTCATTATTATGAAAGAAAACTGTCAAACTATAGCGAATCCCGTTGGTCAACTTTTTCAAAATACCAGAGAGCAGACCTAACCATTATATGAAGGCTACACAAAATGGAAATATTTAGTGTTACTCCCCCCACGAATTTCTTTGTAAAGAATATCTGGCTTGTTTCACAAGTCATAAAATATAAAAGTATTGAAAATTGTGACCCTTTGTGGGTCAGTTACCAGAAGGGGCTCGCAGATACATATCAAGTTTACAAAAGAAATTTGAAGAGGGCCTGAAGCGTTCGCTTTGTTTGAGAGATTTGTTTTTCAAAATCTTGAACCCTATATGGGGAAGGTAGCAAAAGAAATGGTCCGATCTCTACCATGTTTATAACAGATCTTGTGCTGATAGAAATATTGAGATGTGCCAATTCTGAATGACATCGGATGTTATATTCACAATTTTGACCCTCTGTGGGGGAGGTACCAGAAGGAGTGAACCGATATATTCCATCTTAACCCCCGACCTTGGATTAATAAAAATATAGTGATATGTGTAATTTGAAGACAATTAGACTCTTATATCCCGTTTTATAAGAGTTATAACTGTTCAAAATCTTGACCCTTTGTGGAGAAGGTACCGGAAGGAGAGGACCGATATACCCCATCCTCACAGCAGATCTTGCTTTAATAGAAATAATTGAATGTGTGATATACGAAGAGAACGTGATGCTTATTTCGTATTTTATATTTCGAGAGTTATCGCGCTCACCAGCCAGCCAGAGAGACGGACGGACATCGCTAGATCGACTCCAAATGTTTCGAGTCGGATTTGGTCCAAAGAGACTTAGGTAGGGTCTAAAACTGTTAGTTCGATGAGGCACGTTTTGGCCATATCAATTGGTATATACCCTCATTAGCCATATGACTGAAGATATAAATAGAGTATACATGATTTAATCTTTTTTCTAGCAGGAGCCCAAAATTCGAGCTTGTTTCGCTCTTTATTCGAATTCGAGGAAACATATTGCAGCTTTGGTTGGGATTTGAGGTCAAGATCTGCTAAATATCCATAATCGAGCAGTGCAGTTACAGTTACTTTTTATGATTATGCTCCAAATTTTATTTATATGAGCCGATTTCTCCAAATTGGCATATGCTTTGATTTCTGTAGTAGATATTAATTTTTTTTAATTTTGACCGCTTATGTGGTGTAAAATCAGTAAAATATCTTCAGCCGTTAAAAAATTAAATTGTTTTGACCAAGAGAAAATACTCTGATCCACTGTTCGTTGATTTAAATAACTTGGATTTGGACTACTCTGAATTTGGGTTAGAGACCCTGTGCTCTAAAAAATAGCTGAACCACTCACCCTTACTTGATGTTTCTCCTGTTATCTAAAACTGATTGTAGCTTCTCTAAAATGGTTTCCATTTTATATCTAACCCATACAAGTAGTTCCATGAATAATAGAGACGAGTTTACTCTATTTGGTGGTTGGGGAATTTGTTAGCCACTATAAAAACGAGGTTCACTCAATAATTTTGGGAAAACTGGGCTCATAACTAGCAGAATTTAATTCCAAACAGACAGTGAAAAATATTACTTTGGAAAAATTCACTTTTGGAAATGTATACATCATTTCCCTCTAGTACATTTATTTTTGTTCAGCTTTTGTAATGCTTTTCGAAATCAGATCGGACATTAGAGTAGCTCTTAGTTAATTTTCTTTCATAACACCCTTTTCCCATTATCGATATGAAGTAGTTTCAATTTGAACGATTGATGTATTCCCAACCCGCCTCCTTTATCTTTCTCTATCTATCTTCTCCTCATCATGACATTTTTTCTAATCTATATATGTATGTTATTGTTTAGGCATGTCGATTCGCAAGAAACGCTGTATAGTTGACTTTGACGAACCGAAAGAGTTCAGCGTTGACCACCCATTTATATATCAACTATATCATAAAACAACTGTAACGTCCCCACCATCCTCACCCACATCAACTGACGAAGCAACAACAATTTTACCATTATTCATGGGTTCACATCAAGTCGCGGTAGCCGATGCGGTCACACCTCCGACCGCCGACTCAAGTACAAATAGAATTAGTGATGAATTATAAATCAAAATAGCAACAACAACAAAATGTTATAGATATACATATTAATTGTATTTTTTTCTTTTTGGCGAAATATAAAAGAAATGGCAACTAAAAATGGTATTAATATGATGATATTAAATGTTTGTGTGTGTTTTAATAATATATAGAAAAATCATAAATATGTGCATATTTGTGTATAAAAATGTATGTTGTATTTATCACAGACAACAACCATCCAAACATTTATCGCAGACAACAAATATGCATTATTCTGGCAAAAAATTGTATATGTTTTGCATGTGGTTCAAACTTTTATTTGTTGAATAAAATCCTAAGAATCATAAACTACGAAAAACTAAGAAAATTTGCAAATAAAACTTAAATTTGGAATATATGAAAAATGCTCTTACAATGTTTTTAATCTATGTTATAATAATGAAGATGATAACAACAATACTTCTAAAAAAAATCTTTTTATATAATAATAAATATGTAATAATAAAATAATAATAATAATAATAATAATAATAATAATAATAATAATAATAATATAATAATAATAATATAATAATAATAATAATAATAATAATAATAATAATAATAATAATAATAATAATAATAATAATAATAATAATAATAATAACAATAATAATAATAATAATAATAATAATAATAATAATAATAATAATAATAATAATAATAATAATAATTAATAATAATAATAATAATAATAATAATAATATAATAATAATAATAATAATAATAATATAATAATAATAATAATAATAATAATAATAATAATAATACTATAATAATAATAATAATAATAATAATAATAATAATAATAATAATAATAATAATAATAATAATATATAATAATAATAATAATAATAATAATAATAATAATAATAATAATAATAATAATAATAATAATAATATAATAATAATAATAATAATAATAATAATAATAATAATAATATAATAATAATAATAATAATAATAATAATAATAATAATAATAATAATAATAATAATAATAATAATAATAATAGTAATAATAATAATAATAATAATAATAATAATAATAATAATAATAATAATAATAATAGTCTTAATGGGTTCTAATGTCCCCTTTACCCTAAGCGGGGTAGTATTTAATGTCCGGCCCGGCAGAACTTAATGTGTTATACCCTCCACTATTCCATGGAGGGTACATCAACTTTGTCATTCCCGTTCCCATATATACTTTATATTCTGTATCAGCGTAAAATTCTAAGACAATATAGTGATGTCCGTCTGTCTATCCGTCTGTCTGTCTGTTGTAATCACGCTATCTTTCGAACAAATTGAGATAGAAGGCTGAACTTGTGAATACATGCATAGTTTACCAGTAGGCAGATAAGGTTCGTAAATGGACCATGTCGGTCCACGTTTTCGTATAGTCCACATATAACGGTACCTCCCTCCTGATATAGCCCCCATATGATGGCATATCCCGATACTCCGTAATCTCATGATTTTTGCGACATTATTTTCCGGAATCATTTTGAATTTGTTATTTGAAGTTCGTAACGAGTATTACAGCCTAGCACAAAAATGTTTATAGCCCTTAACTTAATGCAAAAAAAATCGTATGCAGGTCATTATTTTTGCGACATTATTCACCGTAATTGTAGAAATTTCGTATTTGAAGTTCGTAATGGGCACTACAGCCTATGAAAAAATATTTCGTATGCAGGTCCACGTCTTCGTATAGTACCCATATAACGGTTTTCATTTAAGTGGTAGTTTTCGAATTTTTTTTTTGTTTTTTGTAATTTTTCAAGTTCCTTTGAAATGGTAGAGGGTATTAAAAGTTCGTCCCGGGCGAACTTAGCTGCGCTTTTTACTTGTTTTACTTGTATTTTTTATTTTTGCCATATTTTTATCACATGAGATTTTTTTTCTAATTGACACAATTTTTATTTGTACATTTTTGGTCTGTTCCAAAACTGCCCTTTATGATATCGAAAAATATTGCAAAAAATAGTAGATTTGAGGGTATGATATTCAAGTCGCAATTACTTTCCGATTTTAATGAAATTTTGCTGGGGGTAAGGTTAGGGTCAGAATAGAAGCGTATTGCTTTGAAGAAGGAAAAATATTTAAAGTTGAAAATGTAGAAAATCTAAAAATTGTCTGGAAATTGCATTCGCCCTACAGGTCTCAACTAAGGAGTTTAAAGTTGAGGACAGCCAAGCATTTTCAATGGTCATCAGATAATATGGAAATGGACCAGAATTTTGTTTGAAAAGAATAACAAAATTACAAATACATGAATGTCAAATTTCTGTTTTTTTTTCGTAAGATGGAATTTGGTATTTGACGTAAAAGAAATATCTGCTTCCTAAAATATCTATGGTTTTTTTACAGATCTTATGTTTTTGGAAACTATTGGTTCCAGATCTATGATGATTATTCGAATAGAGGAATGAATTAGGTCCAACATTTGTTTTTATTTTATAGTAGATATGGGGATGTTTCATAGGGGAATCTTCATTCTAGTCAAAAAGGTTTTAGATCTGCAAAAACATTTGCGGTAATGTTTCGGCAGATCTGAGATCTGTACTGTTGGACCCTCCCGACTATTAATTTTGCTCACTTGTATCACTAATATACTGTTCGGCAAAATACAAAGTTTTTGACGACTTTTTGGTGTAAAAGATGAATATTTTCTGTTTATTTTCTCTTTCGAGACGAGCTTAATGATCTGAAATTTGCAGTGAAAAGGAAAGCCAGATAGACACTATCATACACTCACCACTATGCGACGCGTTTCGCCGATGGTTAAGCGGCTCATCAGGCATATTTGGTGTTGATGATGGCTTACAAGGGCCGTTCTCTGGAAAGTGGTATATATTTCGAACTTATTGCAAATTAGCATATGCGAATTATACACTAGAAACTCTTCAGGTTCGACTCAAGTTTTTCACAGCAAAGTTTTGTTTTTGTAGTGATGGATTTTTTGTCCACTGCTTTAGGAAGACGGGTTAATGGCTCTGAACGTAGAGACGGCAACTTCTAGTTAGCTGCACACCGAGGTTCGCGGTTCAAATCCCACAGCCAGGCTCGGCTGAATTTTTGAGTTTTGCCTTGTTAAGGCGAAGATCATATGTTTTATGATTTATGTGTTTATTTTCTCTTTCGAGACGAGCTTAATGATCTGAAATTTGCAGTGAAAAGGAAAGCCAGATATACACTATCACACACTCACCACTATGCGACGCGTTTCGCCGTTGAATATTTTCATTTTCCTAATATTCTTTCTGAAAAAGTAAATACTTAAATCTATATATATAAATGTAAGTTGTGTTAGTTACTACGCTTATAACTCAAGAACTGCTTATCTGATTTTAATGATTCATACAAATTCTGAATTGTCTCTTTTCCGAAAAGGATAATATTCAAAAAAATCGCGTAAAAATGTGATATATTAACATTTTCATTTTGACTTCTGAAATGTACAATCGTAATGTTTTATTTTGTATGTTTTTTTTTTTCTATTTTGACTTACTTTTTTCGAATGTACATTTGTTGTGTTTTTTATAATATTTTTTTTTCTTTTTGATTCGAATATTAATACCAATTTATTTTGACTCGATTTCTTGAGAACTAAAATAGAAGCCGGGTTACATTGAAGTGTAGTACCAAATTATGTGGTGGCGAAACGAAATAGATGTTATCGAAATAATTTAACGCGGTCACACCAAATTTAAGTCAAAATTGCTAAAAATCTTGAAAAAAGAGATCTCATTGCAAAAATTCTCAAATCGGGGAAAAATTACATAAGGTGTAACTAAAGAACTGCTTGACAATTCATACAATTTTGGAATGGTATCCAATAAAAATATTAATAAAAAATTTCATTTTGGTGTGATTTTTTTTCAATTTGACATACTATATTGAAGTGAACATTTTTTATTGCCTTGACATCTGAATGAATAATATTTAAAATAAAATGAGTGACCTACGTGGACCTACATCTTTCATATGGCAATAATCCGCCCAATGAGAACTCAAAATGCAATTCATTGGAACTGCAGTCAGTGAAATACCGAATATAAAGGGTGCAAAATGGTAGAGCGAATTGGACATTTAGGAAAAAAGAAAGAAATTCTTCCTAAACTTTCAAGATGTCTTAAATCGCTTTTGCAGGTCATGATATATGACCCCCGGATAAGGGTACAACCCTATTTCAAGTATTGTTTACATTTTAACCACATTTTTCTCACACTCATTTTAATTTGATAAGAAACCATCCTCGCAAAATATGATCATGTTTTGGTATAACCATCATATAATTTAAGCCATGTTCGGGGTCTTCGAATTTTTTTTTTCATCTTTAGGCCTTTATTTGGTATCTTTGTTTCTAAGGGTGTAAAAAACCTCTTCTCATAATATTTTCAATTTTCGGAGTAGAGTCCATCTTGGTCTTGACCACATTCATCAATTGATTTGGCTAAAAAATTGTATTTAGGCAACTCTGGGGTAGAGAATCGTCCCTCAGATAATTGTCCACATAGGCATTTATTCGAGTATAGTTCTCACATTAGTGTACCCACAAATCCGCTTTCCTAACCAATGTTTGGTCAGAAAAGAAAATTTGATATACTATTGAATTTGAAACTCCCAAGAGAATATTGGTTGGGAACGTAGATGTGGGATTAACATCTACATGCCATAAACTCCGAAATATCAAATTGTGGCAGAAACATGAAAAAATCACGAATATTAATTTTTTTGTTCGTTATTGAATTATACTATGATGAAAAATATGGACTTTATGGTTTCTCCAACTCACAATTTAAATAAATTAATTAATATTTCACGGTAATGGGTGTAAAAAAGCAATTATCTTTGACTATTTTGAAATCATTCCGCCCTCAATTATGAGGTGGACAAAACTAAATACCACGCACCACGGTATTCTTAACATTGGAAATTCAATACCAAAAATTTAGCTGAGTTTTCACATGGGGCTATTATAGAAGTTCTATATCATACAGGTTTTTAACACTCAATTATAGCCTTAGACTGAAAAATAAGATCAGGCTATTCAAAATATCTAAAACCAACGGTAGATTATTATCTATTATAATT